TTTTTTGCAAAAAACGGGGCTTTTTTGCTCATTTTTTGCCCTCCCCAGCCCCCAGGACAGGGGTGGGTTTCAACTAGTTCGCGGTGGTCCCCACGAACCGGTTGGTCGGCGAACCCAGAAGTAAAGTAACTTCCGGGAACGGCGAAGGGCCCACCCGCGCTCCACCGACCAACCGGTCTTTGAAGGCTTCTGCGCTTCCACGCAGGCGCATGGCACATACAGCACCTGCGCGATTCTCCGTGAGCAGCTGGATGGCACATACAGCGGCTGCGCAATTCTCCACGAGCAGCTGGAGCATCGCGCAGGCGCTACAACGCATGCGCGAACTGTGCGCGTGCACGAGGATGCCGCCGGTCCCATTCCAACCAAACCGGTTGGAACGAAATAAGCAACCCACCACTGCCCCAGGAGCACTCTACAGGCTACCCACACCCTCTGCACATCCCATTTTTGCAAAAAACAGGCCCGTTTTGTGCCTCCCAAACTCCCGACGTGTCACATTTTTGCCCTCCTTGGCCCCCATGGGGTGTGCAGAGGGTTTGGGAGTCCTGCAGGGGGCCAGGGAGGGCAAAAAAAGAGCAAAAAAACCCACCTTCACTATTACATTATATTGTTTTTTTAAAAGAAATAGATAATTGTGTGCACTTTTAAAGAATTGTAGATTAAATCTTACTTAGAAACTGGGTTATTTTCTTCCAGAGTTATTGTTTGTTATACATCTTCCATTCAGTCCTGCCACTGATTTTATCTACAACTGCTGATTTGTCAACCTGTCTCAAACCTTACTTTCTATCTTTCATTTATTCTCAATCTTGCCAAGTACACTCATTTTTTTCCCCTTAGTCTATCATCTGCTTGAATCACTTTCTAAAGAATTTGAAAGATTGATTCCCTCATAATTATCTCTAAGGAACAGTCAAACCTCTCTTCATTAATTTCATTGTTGTAGTTTATGGTAATCTTAATGGACTCAAAATCCTTAATTGGAGATGCCAAATTTATTTCTCCTGGTCTTAACGAATGACCATTTTCCAGATTCATATCTTAACTACTAAGGAAAAAATGGCTTTTGTGATCTTTGTTGTTTTTATATCCTTTTTCTTCATGAATTTATATAAATTTCTCATGCTAGTGTATTAATCCTTTCTTTCATCCAGCATTTTCTCTATTATTAATTCTTGAGCCCAACAAAATTAAAATATCATCTTCATATTTTCCTGGTCAACTCGGAATTCACAAAGCATGATGGCATTATCTGCGTCATCGCAATATTTCACACAATCCCAGATTTTTTTCATTTTTTTTACTTTCGTAATGAGGCCATCTAAGTTTCTTAACATCCAGTTGAAGAATTAATGTCAGCTTCACATCTCAAATTGTCAGTGTTTCAGTCTCCAGTTTTGATTTCAGCTGTCACCTGTGCCATTCTTAAAATATATTAAAAGTTATGGAGACAAAATATCTTTGTCTTGCTTCTTTCCCCATTCAGGACTACTTCGTTGCTCCCACATTCATGTCTTACAGTAGCTTTTTGTTCATTTTAAAAATTCCTCACAACAATCATCAAGCTCTCTGGCAAATTTATTAGCTTTAATGCATTCCACATTCTGTTCTGATCTACACAAAGGCTTTGCTGTAGCCAATAAAGTAATAAGCGCTCCTCCTTAAATTATCTTGCTGTCTCCATAAACCACTTGCCTGAGCTAACGGAAACACTTTCTGGGATAAAACAAACAGGGAAGACAGCAGAACACCAAGTTCAATTGTCTGTAACTCAACTCCAAGCAGAAATACTCCTGAACACCTTAATTTCCTAGTGATAGAGGAAATCAGGGGCCGATTTAGAAGGGAGCGTAATTAACAAAAGCTCATGCCTTTTAATAAAATTGATTAGTTTGAAAAGGGGTTCACTGACAAATGCGTGCACGACAAAACCGCGGTGAGAAAACCGTGACGTCGGAATCGCACCAACAGCGTGCCGACAACAGCGCACTGACAAAAGCGTGCCTTCAACAAACAACGTGAAAACAACATAATAACCCTAACCCTAACCCTGAACCTAACCCTAACCCTAACCCTTACCTTAACCCTAATCACGCTTTTGTGGGCCTACATCCTGAGGAAACTGATCAATGCTGAGGCTATGGTTTTTATGCTTTCAGAGTTATAAACAATGTTTATTTTTCTTATTCTTAAAAGTTCCTGCAAGAAAATTGTGTGTGTGTGGCAGTGCCCCATTTATGTAGTAGCTTTTTATGATTTTTGTCATAGCAATAGCAATTAGACATATACCGCTTCATAGGGCTTTCAGCCCTCTCTAAGCTGTTTACAGAGTCAGCATATCGCCCCCCACAGTCTGGGTCCTCATTTCACCCACCTCGGAAGGACGGAAGGCTGAGTCAACCTTGAGNCCCCCCCCCCTCCGGCTGCTCTGTTTCAGGATCTTCAGCCTCTGCCTTTCACTTAAGAGTTTCATCCACCTCATCTCAGTGACACCCGTTAAGCCGTCTTTGCTTCCCTACGTTAAGATGCCTTCCTGTAGGTCTCTCACGCCCTCTGCCTTGGCCACGCTAAACGTCTTGGCTCATGCAGCTTGAGCAACTGGTACAGCTGTAGAAGCGAAGCAATATATTCGTACTGCCGGAAGAATGTGCGACTTTATCATTTTTCCGGGTGCTGAAATCGCCACTTAATGCAGCAGCCTCTCCCCCCCCCGGATGATGATGATGATGCGCTTCGTGGGGCTGCATCTCCGCTGCCCACCACTCTGTTTGCAGCCGTTACCTGGTTTTCTCCTGGGGCTGCAAAGGTTTTCTTCCTCCTCCTCCTGGGGAATCTTTTCCCTCCTGCTTCTGTCCCCTGGTCACCCGTTTCCTCCTCTTCCCTTCTTCCCTTCGTCCGCAGAGCCCTCTTTGACTACGACAAGACTAAAGACAGTGGCCTCCCCAGCCAGGGGCTGAACTTCCACTTCGGCAACATCCTCCACGTCATCAATGCCTCGGACGATGAATGGTGGCAGGCACGGCTGGTGATGCCGGGCGGGGAGAGTGACCAGGTTGGCGTCATCCCCAGCAAACGCAGGTAGCGGACTCGCACGGCGGCTCGAGGCCTGCCAGGAAAAAGGGGTGGTGGGGGAGAGGAGCCCCAAGTGGGATTGGCTGCTTTCTTTTCTTTTTAATAATTTTTTTAAATCAGATATTTTTATACATGTCACCATCATCATTCCTCCATTTCCATTGGACTATAATTGTTTCAGCGTCCATCATAAAATGTACCAAGATTTAAAACCTGACCACATACTGGCATTTCTTTTGTTATTTCTAATATCCTCCAATAACAATCGGCCAGACTTGGTGGCAGCAGAGAAAGTCCAGGTGGCAGCTGGTGGCGCCAGCAGATGTGGCCAAATGACAGCAGCGTCAGGAAGGGGAAGCAAGAGAGTGTTACTACTACTACTACTACTACTAGTAGTAGTAGTAGTAGTAGTAGTAGTACTGTTGAGGCCCTTCTCCCATGCAAAGGGACTCTGGGCACTTCACAGGTGATAAGTCCCGACGGAGCACTTGGGCGGGGGGCGGGGGTGCTGGGCGAGGGGCTCCAACAGACCCCAGGAAGGATAATCGGAGCTGTGGGTGAAGACGCTGAGACCCTGAGCAGGACCCAGCCCAGCTCCCAGGCCTCTGGCAGAGGAGAGCCGAGAGTGAGGAAGACACAGGCCGCCCAGAGGAAGGTCGGGGAAGGACTTTTTTTGTAAATCGGCGCTCTGGTGAAGTCTCCCATTGGTTGCAAGGGGAGCCACGGCTTGACCGAAGGTTCCTGGGGTGCCCGGAAGATCAGTCGTTTAAGTCAGCCCTTGCACAGAACCACGGCAGCCCTTGCGACGGTTCCCTTCACTGAGCCTCATGCACTTCACTAGGAAGCCAGGATTTCTGTCCTTCGTTCTGTTTGGAGGAGCCAAGAAATAGCAGGATCCTCCCCCACAGGCCTTACCTGAGGCTCCAGGGAGGGCTGGAATCTGCAGGTGGAGTTGAGGGGGGGGGGGCTTGCAAAAGGCCTGGGGCTTCTTTTCCACCAGCCAACAATTTATATGGCTACCCTGCTTGTTCTCTTCTAATGGCTAACAACACAACCACAAACAGCACAAAAGTATACTAAGGGCCCCATGCCAGAACCCACTCAAAACATTTCTGAGTCAAATGGTTCCGGTCTGGCTCCTCTAACATCCCTGTCCCGGCAGCCCCTGAGGAAGACTCGTGGCCTCTTTGAGTCATCCCCTCAAAGACACATTCAGCACAGCATGGACCCAGCCACGGGTGACCCCTGAGGGGCTTGGACCAGCCAGGAGGGATGCTGGTGGCCGAACTCCTGGTCCCAGGGATCCATGCAGGCGAACGGAGTGAACGCCCTTCCGCTAACCAAGCAAAGCCTTGTTTCCATGGGGTGTAGCGCTAAGGGCCCGCTCCCCTCCCAATTGGGCTCTGGAAGGGCCTGCCTGTCCTCCCTGGCCTGGATCTTGGGGGGTGGGGGGATTTGAGACCCTTTCTGGATGGGCCACATTTGCCTCACCATCTGTTGTGTATTGTGGTCCTTCTGCTGTGTTGTGTGAAGCCCGGAATCAGGCCAATGGGTGCATTTTGCCACTTTTATTGCACAAGGTGATGCTTCTGGCAGGTGGATTTGTCAAGTGCCGCTTGATTCTCCAAATATTTTCTGGCCCATTGGGCAAGTGCTGAAGGGGGGGGGGGGACAAAGCTCTCTTCTGTGGGGGAAGCTCTACCCAACTCCAGCCTGGATCCTCATCCTGGCAGCCAACCTTGTGGCCAGAGAGGCGCACGGCGGTTCTGCCCCAGGAAGGAGAGAATCAGAGCCGCCGACCCTCATGGGTTTTCTCCTGCATTTTCCTTGCAGGGTGGAGAAGAAGGAACGAGCTCGGTTAAAGACGGTGAAGTTTAATTCTAAAGCGAGAGGTGACAAAGGGGTGAGTGTGGGTTAATGGTTGCCGTTGCAGTGCTCGTCCACCACAGGGTCCCTGCTGGAGGGGCCAGGAGAGAAAGGGGGGGGGGGGACATGATGCATTATGAATGTTTTGAGCAGTTTTTCCAACACTAAAAACCAAATGGAAATTTGAAAAAAATTAGAGCCCACCTAATCAGAGATTTGGTGAATGATAGAAGCCTTGAGGAATATCTAGATATTTGTTAAATTCTGATGGGGGACAGTTGGGGAAAGGGGGGGGGGGGCTTCCGGTGTGAGGCTGCTTAAAATCCAAGTCTGTCACAGAGGTGGCTGTCCAACCTCCTCTTCCTCCTCCTCTTCCTCCTCCTCCTCCTCTCTGCCCACCATCTCTCTGGGCCACGGACGTACCTCTAATGTCCCCTCAGAACTTGCCTTCCTCAACCACCACAGTTGCTATGGGAAGCAGAAGGGGGGGCTGGGCCAGTTTGACAGTCTGGGTGGCCAGAAGGTTGCCCCGTTCCCTCATCCCCAGAGCGCCCAGCTCAAAGCCAGTGGGGGAGGCCGGTGCTCCTGACCACGGCTGAGCCTTCTGCCGGCATCGAGCGTTTGCGTGTCTCCTGGATATTCGGCCACGTGAGCTCCCTTGAACTGCTTACCTTGGCTCTTCCCTCGATGATGTAGGGCCCACCTGGGCCTCGTCTGCTGCCAGCCACCACGCTCCCATCCCCAGGGACACCAGAGCTCTTCCACAGGCCATCTCGTGGCAGACCCGAGGGATGCGCTTTCGGGAGTCCCACCGCCGAGACCCTAACCCTAAAGCCAAGCCATTGGCTGCCCCGCATAGCATTAGGAGGAGCTTTCCGTTCTGAGGTTTCCGCAAGGGTCCCGGATGCTAAAGCTCGGGAGGAGCTGAAGAAGACTCCCAGGGGAGGCCCTGGTTCCTTGCAGGCACATCTGGAGCCGCTTCTGGCCTCAAAAAGCACCTGCAGCTTTTTAATGCTGGCAGCAGTAGGTAGGCGTTACAGATGCCCAAGCAGAAGCTCTCCTAAGGGGGAGAATGATGGGATGCCAGGGGGCAAAGGGGCCTTGCCTCATCTGATCCTCTTCCCAGAGCAGAAATCCACCCCCGCAGCGTCCCTGAGAGATGGTGGCCACCCGAATCTGGGGAAGGAAAGTCTCCACCTCCCGACTAAACATTGCAGCTCTTATCCTTAGGAAACGTTTCCTGCTTCTTTCAGAGCAAACTGACTGGTTTCTCTAGAATTTAAACCCAGAGTTTTTTGCCCCATCATTGGAATAACAACCATTCTGTTACTTCTCCTATATGGCCCGAGGGTTCAGGTTCAGCTCTAGCTCTGAAGTAGCTTCTTGAAAAAGCACCTTTTGGGACAACAGTGACCTGGATGACGGAGACTTTCTACTACCGGTATATGACAACCTTCAGTTACTTAAAGCCATTGGGCTGGAAGGGACCTCAGAGGTCTTCTAGTTCATCCCCCTGTTCAAGTCAGGACACCTGATTCCATTCCAGACAAATGGATATCCAGTCTCTTCTTCAAAACCTCTGTGGTGGGCCCCCCCCCCCCCCCAACTCCACAAGGTTCAGCTCTCCCATTGATTAGTTATTCTCACCGGCAGGAAATTTCTCCTTCGTTCCAGCTCGTTTCACCCCCTAATGAGCTTCCACCCATTGTTTCTTGTCTGGGACAGCCCCCCCCCACCCTCCCCCAAGTACTGGCTGTCATGTCACCCCCAACCCTCCTGGGCTTCCTTCAACTGGACATACCTAGTTACCTCAGCCGTTCATTGTGCTGAAGTCCATCCAGATCCTTCTGAATCTTGAGCCTGTCTTCCAGAGTACCAGCCATTCAGCCCGGCTTGGTGTTGCCTAGAGATGAGTTCCCCTTCCATCCCCTCATCTAGATCACTTATAAAAATGTTGAAGAGAAGGGGCCTAAGACCTTAAGGTAGCCCACTCCCTCCGTGCAGGGCCTTCTCATCCTCTGATCTCTTGTGGGCGCTCTCCCCTTCGTCAGCGTCCTTTTAAAATGTGGTGTCCAAAACTGAACGCAAAGTTCTAGGTTTGGTCTAATTTTCAGGACAGTAAACGTAATTCTCTAAATAATTTATCTCTAAATAAAGGGAAAGGGGGGCAGTTTCAGAAGACCAAATAAAACCTTTACGGCCTCTTGGAAACCATATCCAGGTTCTGTATAATCTAGGAATCCAGGCCTCTGTCTCTGTGGCTGCAGGTCAGCCCCCAGGGATTAAGTCCCCCCCCCCCCGTCCTCCCTTTCTTGCCCCTTTGTGCCATCACTTTTCCAGCCCGGAATGCAACCGGCACTGGCTCCGTCTTTCTCTCCTGATACTTCCTGCTCTGGCCCAGTTATAAGGGCAATTGTTCTCCCATCTCCTATTAGGATATTTTGTCTCTGTGCCTTTTTGGGCCGAGTGTTTCATGGTCAGCATTTGATTTCCTTTGGGAAACTGAGGATCCAGGAAGACGTAGGGGATGGGCAGCTGACTCAACCAATCGGCAGTAAAGGAGCCCAAAACCTCAGCCGAGCTGCACGGATCCCTGAGCCGTTTGGGCTTGGCTTGGTTCAGCCTCTTGGGAAGAAGGAGCGTGCTGGCCTGGCCCTCCTGGTCATCCCCTCCCCCCAGTGGGGGTTCATGGCTTGTGATGGTACGGCCAGAGGGGGGACGAAGAAGAAGAAGAAAAAGAGCAAGTGGGTCCATAACGGTTTGCTCTCTGAATTCCCTCACGTCCATTCTCTTTCCCATTTGGGGAACCTCCCTCCCTCCCTCCCTCCCTCCCTCCTTTCTGCACTGAAGTGAAAAAGTAAACCCTGGAAGTGGAGTGTGGGGACCCTGAGGCTCCCAGGAGGAGCTGCGTGCGGCTGTGGTGGCCGGCAGCCCTGGGCATTGGGGGTCTAGCAGAGCTGTCTGGCTTACCTGCCCCTCCCCTTCAAGATTTGCTGACGGACCCAGCAGCCGCCCCCAGCAAATACTTGCGCAAGCAGACAAACCTGGGGAAATCCACGTCGGGTGGGGGGATAATTGCAGGACTGTTTATTTTTAATGATGGATTGATTGATTTGATTTCTGTAGCTGCCCACCTCAACAAGGGCGGGGGTGCATCAATTGTGCTGCACTAACCTCCCCATTTCCCCTCCCCACAACGTCTTGCCCTTCTCCGTGGCTAGAAGGAGCAGAACATCCTGAGGAGGCAACCCTCCGTCTGGCAAACCCGTTGTTTGCGGAACCCCTCGGAGTCCGGAGTAGTCACCTTCCTTGTAGGGAAGCATGAACCGCTGCCTGGTTGCCCTGCAGCCGAGCTGCCCGCGGCTCTTGTACCTTATCCTTGCACCAGGCCCATGCATGAGAACTGGAGGAGACCCTCAAGTACGCTTGCCATTGAGAGAGAACTGCCTGCCTGCCTGCCCGCCTTCTGCACCCCGCCTTGCTGTGGCTTTCCTGCGGGAGCATGGTTGCCTGTCCCCCCCCCCTCACCTGGCATCTTGCTGGAAACGCTGAGCATGCTTGCCGTTGCCGATGGCCGCTTAGTACCCCTGGCCCGCTTTGATCAGGCGTGCATGATGGACTGATCTTTGGGGAAAATAACCGGGCACAGCAGACAAGAGGGGAAAATTGATCTGTTCCTTGATTTGGTGGCGGTCGGGAGTTCCCTCTTCTGCAGCCGCGTGATTCCATGCCAGCCACAGCTCGATGCTAGATGGGGTTGCTTCTTTGCTTGGTCAGTGTCTGCTAAGTAACACGCTTGGGTAGACTGGGCTGGTCAGCTCCGGCCGTTCCTTCCCGTTGCCTTTCCTGCCCTGTCCCGCCAGAGCTTTTAACCCGCCTGCCCAAGACCAGCGAGCTCTCCTGCCCAAGGAAAGGAGGGGGGGGGGCTGAAAGCCTTGCGGCTGACGGCTTTCACAAGTCCACAGAAGGCAAAGACTTCTGGGCCTATTTTATTTCATTTTAATTTTGCCGACTTCTAATCGTTCTCCCTGCACCAAAGGAGGCTTTCTGTCCAGTTCATTTCTGTAAGTGGGGGAGGCAGGGCAACAGTGGGAGTTTTCATTCCACTCTGTCCATTTGGGGGGGGGGTCATGAAAAGTTGCCCAAATTGGCACAGGAGAGGGGGGGGGTTCATTTACGCAAACCTTCCTGGACCTGCAATGGGGGGGAGTTCCCCCCTCCCTCCCTCCCTCCTGGCTTTATGCAGGAGTTGTTCCGTAACCCTTTGGGGGGGCTCAGCTCCCCTCGGATACCAAATTCACCCATTTATGGGTTTGCACAGTTCAATAAGCGATTCCCTTTAGAGCTAACCCCCACCCCAAAGGGAAGGTCAAGGTTGAGCAGCTGAGCATATTTTAACTGACCAAGTCCAGCATGTTGGTGAAGATAGCCAGCACTCTTCCCCTGACTTAGCAAAAGCAATAGCAATAGTTAGACTTATATGCCGCTTCATGGGGCTTCCAGCCCTCTCTAAGCGGTTTACAGAGTCAGCGTATCGCCCCCACAGTCTGGGTCCTCATTTCACACACCTCGGAAGGATGGAAGGCTGAGTCAACCCTGAGCC